ATGATAATGACGGGGGGAAACAATTGATCATTTTAGGAAGCGTAAAAATTTTCAAGGTTCCATTTCAATATTTTTGTTTTTGGTTGGTTACCAACACTTTTCAAAGTACGAAAGATAAAGCGTGTCGGTTTGTGTGGAAACCTTTTGACTCCAGAAACAGCATCGTTCGTTAGTACATTCACCTCTGTTCCTATTTAATGAACCAAACGCACGACTAAGTTTTCACGAAGTTAATTATGATAAAATTATTATTTCCAATTACACCCTTCACTGTTTATGCACTTCTAATAATGTACAGTTGATATGCAAATTAGGTAAGTGTTTATCATCAATACATTCGAGGTCTCAAGTTTGATGTTACCAAATAGTAAACGTAAAAATGCAGAAAAATTGGTGTCACTAATTTGGGTCTTTGTGGTGTTATCTTTGAAGCAAAAGTGCATGTGTTACCTCTTCGCCTGTAAACCACTGTACATAATTATTTAAATTTAGCAAACCATGCATTAGTTTACTTACTTGTTATCCTATTAGAGGTTCAAGTAGGATAATAAGTAAGTTATATGCGTTCATTTCAACGTGCAAAGATTTTTCCTTGAGAAAATTTCAAATGCAAAAATTCCACGCAGACTTTGCGGTTTATCTTCTGTAGTTGCGAGGCAGAAACTAGCATTTCATATTATGTAAATTATTGTGCGAGGTAGCCAACCGCACCGGTCGAAGGACTCGTATGTTACTTAATGAATTGCAAATACGTACGTATTGTTTACACGGGCAACGATTTAATTACACTTTTTAATTTTGCTACAGAACCTTCTTGTAATTACGACATCGCATTAGATTAGGGCCGCACACTCTTGGGATAGTTTTAATTGCGCCTCTTGCGCAAGTCTATATAGCGAGCTACTCTGATAATTAACCGCGGTAATGAGAAACCTCCAATATAAAAATGGAAAAAGTAACTTTAATGCGATGTAAGATTTCGTCATATTTTTTTAATGTTTTCACATTTAGAAGAGCCGTATCCGGAAGCTTAAGAAAAATTACGAGACAATAAATTAGACAGTTGAAAGCACATATAGTTCTGGCACGAGAACTTTATGTGCTTTCAACTGTATGGGAAAGGAATCGGTTTTCCTACGAGTGTAGAAATGTGTACACGTCGGTAAAAACCCAAAAGGTATTAGTTTTTGTACTAATTTTTTTGTTTAATTTATTTTCGACTGTATTTAAGCAAAATCGCTAGCAAAAGTTTCAATATACGTTTATAAATAATTGAAATGTGCTAATAAAGCCCTTTTATTTGATAATCTACGCGGAATGATTGAAATATATATGGGAACAGATGAACATTCTTACATACATACATACCGGCCAAAATCATAACCTATTTTTGCTTCACCGTAGTCGGATAAAAAGCAATACTCATCTTCAAGTGATGAGCTCCGCAGAGACTTTGGAAACATACATAAAGTTATATTGAAATAAAATTATAATCTTAAGAAAACGTGGTGCATAGAAAACTGAAAATACTTGTCGTGTAGTTCATAGCGGTAATAGAACCTACTTTCACAAGTAAAGGGATACCAGGCAGCGTTAGAGTCGGTGTGGTTGACCCAGTATTTCGAGATATCGGCTTGGCAGAATATGCCTGCAAGATGCAACTAAATCCTGCAATTTTTCAACACTTTTTTTCGTAGTTACCCGCCCGATCGCATCAAATAAAAAAAAAGCTTTCTAATTCTATATTTTTATTGCCGTTCCAATTTTATTAAACTAATTTACACTTTTGCGATCAATGTCACGCAAAAATGTGTTATAATTTCGAATTCGCTATATCAAATTCAAGAACCGTTACAATTATTTTTTATACCACAGAAAAATTATAAAATAAAAAACCCCATCTTGCCCACCGATGCTTCGCCAACCTATCATTACGAGCCGAATCGAAATTTCATATCATTGTCATTACTTCTATCAAGCAGTAGCCGGCAAATAGACAATAACTTTAAAGTATTGACTCTTGATTGATACAGTTTTTTTTTCTCTCTCTCTCTCTGACTAATGCTTTGAAATGCTATTATAAGTGAGTAATTAGACTAGTAAGTAGCAATATGATGATGTTCAATCAATGTTTCTTTATAGCATAGCATGTTACTTCAAAGATACTGATTGCTATAATTGATTCCTCATTGTCATTAGGTGGAAAATGGAAACTGTATGTACTGGGTATTAAATATTTGGCACATTATCAACAAATCAATTTTATACCACCAGTAAATTATAAAAATCTATAAAGGATACCTAATGCCTAGAAATAAATTGGGCAAGGACTAAAAAATCTTCCTGTAGATCAGGGCTTCCCGAAGTAGTTGACATCGACCCCTTAGGGTCAAAATGAGTACTAAAGGCCAAGGGGTTCCCAAGCCAGGGGTTGTCCATCAAACATCAAAGTCAGAAAATATCTGACTTCTGGTCATTTAAATTTGTTATATTTTCATGAGAAATTGATGTTAAATTTACATAATTAACCAACTCCAAAATTTTTAAATTGGTTAGTATTTTGTATGAATAGAAAAAAGTTAATAAATTTTTTCAAGTAGGTTTTTTTCACATCACTCCCCACTGGTAGGTGCTAGGTCCTTTTACTACTAGTTTATCATTCATACTAGTTCTCACTGGTACTCATGCTCATACTTTCATTCCTCACCAGTATTAATTTCACTATGGTGGTTGCCATCTCCTAATAAATATAAGCCTGACCCAATCCTGTATTATGCCAAATATTTTGCCTAAAAATGGAACTAATGTTAAAACAAAACCCACATAAACCAAGAATTTCCCATGCCCCTGCCCACACTACAACCTTAAAATCGCACATTCACTAAAAACCACTAACTTTCAATACAGTTTGTACATAGAATATACTAAAAAATAAACTCTAATTAAAAATAAGAGAATAATTCATTAAATATATGTTAATATTTTGACAGCTTAAAACAGTTTGGAATCCTCAGGTATTGATAATAATATGAGTATAATATTGTTAATCTTTTTACAATATTATACTCCATATTATTATCACATCTCAAATAGATATCAACAAGTTTTCCAAAAAATGTTAATGGAAGTAAAAATACAAACTAGACTAAGTTTAGAAGTCAAACTGCATTTACAATAGAAAATGAAACTAGATAACACAAGTATATACATATATATAATAATGTTAAAGCAAACCGAAACTAATTTGAATTTATTTTAGCTTAGTCTAGACAGTGGTAAATAGAATTGGCACCAATATAGAAATTTTAGCTACTGTGGTCAAGTCATGAGACAGCAACAAAAGAATATAATGCAGATTGTCTAAATTCAAGGCCATACTGGTAGGTGGTTGTTAACTCTACGCAATCCCTGAAGCATGACTAATTTGATCATTTTTTGTTAGCCTAGAATTAGATAGGCAAATGTATTACATTTAAGTAGACAGCCATGTGAAATTGCAATTAGTTTGTAACTATATTTTTTAAATAATTAATGTAAATAAATATGTTGATAAGTAATACTGAACCCTTGTGTAAGATTAAAATTTGAAGAGAATTATTTATAAAACTTAAGTCAACCATACCATATATAACATATATGGGTATATAATCAAACATACAAACCAATTGGATAATTGGTATATTAGTTATCTTGAGATAATATTGGCAACAGACTTCTTGAAAGACTGCTCACACATTTGGTAGCAGATTTTGCGCCTGCCAGATATGTATTCAAACACTCCTTTGATTTTAGTTTCAATGAACTATTTGTAGCAGGCACACAAATGGACCCTTTGATGTTCAGAAATATGATCATATTATAAAATACAGGTGCCACTACTTTACTTGTCTAGGGCTGGCATAATAATAATATGTGATAAAATAAAAGGAAAATGTGCCCAATTCGCCTATCAAAAGGAGTTAAAGTAGATTTGGACATCAAAATACGAAATAATTTTATAAGCTTGTCTCTCTGTAGGTTGTAATCTTTGGAAATACTGATCGGAATCTGAAAATTCTTTCACCTATAGGAAGCTACATCATACACAACTTACATAGGCTGTATGTTATGTAGGCAAAGGCATGAGAATAAAGCTAGTAAATTTGCATATTTAATGTTTCAATTTCAAAGTGATATTGAAGATTTAAGCAACCTAAACAGTGTCATAAGATTAATAGATAGACCTTCGACAATACACCTATGAAGTTATGATATAACCACTTCATACAACGGTTTTATTTATTTGCCAAAATATAACGATTTAACATTGCACTGTATTATTACATGACCTGTGCCAACATTTCGGCTGGTCAGTGTAAAAATCACATCTAATACCCATTACTATAAGTATGTATGTTACATTGCTTTTTTCATGTTAGGTAAACACACTCCAAAGTTACAATTTTTCATAATGCTTTTAATATACAATTTTAATTGTACTTATTTATCTTAAAATAAATTCTTTAAAAAATTCAGGAGCCTAAAACAGATTTAAAATTGATCAAATTTAAATATTCTTTTTATTAATCACATACCCTCAATTAAATTATTTCATTTCTAACACAGCAAATAATTCAAATGATTTTTTAATTAAAATAAACATTTATGTTGCCTTAGTTTTATATAGGTAAAATTATTTTATAAAATATCCTGAGATGAACCAAACCTGAGAAAACAGTTTCTAATTTTGAAGATTATAATAGTGAAGCAGTAAGAAACTAAATTAATACAAAATAATAAAGAAGATATCAAATAATTTCTCCTTATTAAACAGTCAATATGTCAATGCCTAAGCAAATTTGATCTTCAGGAAAAGATTTATTCATGTTTCAGCAAAATCTTAAAACTTATTTTGATGTTAACTGACTATCAAGTATTTGACTCCAACCTACATGAAAAGTTTTCTTGTACTCCGTAACACCACAAAGAGAAAATGTGAAGTAAATAATATATAGACTCACCTTGGAAGCTTGTTTGCCAATTATTTCCTGGCCTGTATGGGATATATCTGTCCATGTACTCTGGCCGGACCAACACTCCCTGTTTTCTGTTCACTGGGCTGCATTGTTGCAGTAAACGTCTTTCATAAGATTCACGAAACATTGTTCTAATTCAGGACCCAATCTTTCACTACTAACTGATGATTTTCAAATGGTCCAATATAAATTTCGTTGAGGGTAAATGGAAGAATAAGACTAGAATAATTTTATTTCAGGTAGTTCACTATGCGATCATACTGTATCAAAAACACGAAGTGTCACTATTGTAGAGAGAACGGTGTGTTCTCTTTCGCTTCTGAACACCATTTGACTACATTCGATATGGTCGATAGAACAAGAAACCGATACATCGTCCTCAAGTTCAAACACACAATACACAATTTGTTTAGTTTGAAAATTTTATATTTGAAAACTCATTAATGTTTAATGTAGTTAACGTGAAATTTAACACATTAAATTATATGTTTCAGTACAAATTGCAGGAAATAAGCAAGAAATAAAACCCTCGAAAGCTTGTTTTTGACATTATAAGTCATATGTTGCCAGAAAAATAAATTATGATTGTTTTTAAATAAGTAACCGTTATGGCTAATCCTAGGTAAAATTTTAGGTATCGATTCACATTAGGTAGGTAGAGATCACTGGTAATTTCGAAATCTACTGAACGTGAATATTTTAGTAGCAATTTATTAAGTACTTTTAAAATAGTTTAAAAAATCTGCGCTAACATTTCTAACAATTAATATCTTATTTTGTCGCTTCATACAACTACTAAAACTTATATAGGCAATCGATGTTCTATCAATTAAATAGACAAAACAGAAGTTCAAATTGCTGCGCAGACTTCTATTGATGACAGTGTGACTTTGTCTTGAGACAAACTTAGGATGTGCACTCGAGTTGTTAACACTCTTGTGGCCGAGTACCAGTAGTATTATAATTCGTCCATGGGACAGGCGAAGGAACTAAGCCATGCCGAGTACCAATTTAAATGTTTACTTTGTGCACGATATTTGTTCACGATTCCTATGTATAACTCTTTACTTAAAAATGCAACGATAAATCAGGGAATCGATATATTTCGACATCACATAAACAGCGTAAATAAAGCGATAAATATCAACATATCGAATCCTAAAATCGAATGAAGTCCAAAGAGTAAATGAGGGGCCTAATTAAATATATATTTATGCAAAATCATTGATGATTGTTTATTTACACAGAGGCTATTCGTCCCTGTTTATAAGGGCGACAATAACATTTTCATTATGTGAGACTTTTCATTTAATACTTTGTAGGTGGTTGATATAAATTAATAGTTATTTAAGATACGAGTGCGGAAGTAAGGTTTTACGAATAAGGGTCAAATTGAAGGTTTTCATTAGCACGAATTTGAAAAACCTTTTACGCTTAAGTTTCTTACAACATTTTTCAATGCTTTTTGCGAGGAAATAAAACAAATATATAGGTTAATAAAACTAAATATTTATTAAAGGTAAAAATTATTTGTTAAAATTAAACGTGATAATTGAACATGTTTAATAAAATATTGGATCATACGAGCTAGAGTATTAGTGAAACAAGTATATAGGAACTGTATTACCTGTAAGCTGTACCTTAAGCACGACTTCATCCATCAAAGGCTTTCAAGAATTTTGGTGTAGATTTTTAACGGGCTATATAAACTTAAGGTTTTCGCCAGGAAGAGGGTCAAAATCGTATAAGGAATATGTATGTTTATTCGGATGCATGGTGAGTAATGCTATACACTTAGAAGCTGTCTCAGATCTCACTGCTCAAGGATTAGTGGCATTTCGCCGATTTTGTATCAAGAAGGGGGGGGTATCTATCAGAATCTTTACAGTGACAATGCAATTAATTTTTATTGTTAAATACCATTTTTTAGTGGGCGAACCGTTGATAGAATTACCTGGTGAAGATTTGTCACAGGTCAGTTGCACAGAAATATCAAGATGGAGAATAGGCCAAAAATGGTCGATAATTTTTGGTGTTAATTGTCAAACGAGTATGTGACAACCTTGCAAAAACGATTCAAATGGACAAAGCACGAGTATTTCAAAAATCGGTCAACAATTCACAGAAAAATTGGTTAATATTAATGTTTATCTTTTATTAATTAAAGCATATATACATATCCGTCAAACATAGAATCTCCTCCTTTTTAATCTTGAAATCGGTTAAAAATATGTTTCGTGTAATCAAATAAATAGAGAGTTTAAACAAACAATCTTAAAACAATACGAAAATTATACCCTACCAATATTTTTGTGAGCCTTATGCTAAGCCTAAAAAGATTATACGTATAATATCGTCTACTCAAAGAATATGTCACTCAAAATAATTTATTAATCTATAGGTACATGACTAGTACGAAAATACGGTATACGGTTTACGGTCTAGGGAATCTCTCAGAGAAATATTTATCTTGACTGTTGCCTCTCAACACATCTATGAAAATATTATGTACGCAAGAAAACATTACGATTCCTTCACAAAAAAGTAGTGTTCACAATCTTAACACAAGAAATAAAAATAAACCTGCCGTTCCAAGCTTCAGACTTTAAAAAACCATAGGATCATTTTGGGTAAATGCATTGCCATATTCAATAAAGTTCCACAAAACGTAATTGATTACCCATAAATAAATTTAAAATTCATGTTAAGAACATACTTATGAGTAAAGGCCTATATTATTTATACTTTCGGATAAATAAATAAATAAAAATACAATCTACTATAAAATTTAACTACAAACAAGAAACACTTTTCTATTTACAACATTAATATATTGTAAAGACAAAACCCCTTTTTTAAACTACAAAAGTTGGAAGTTCTTCATCATCCGTGGTACTCACCAGACCTTGCGCCTACAGCCTCCTTTTTTATAGAATTCGGATAACTTCTTTGCGGAAAAAAAATCATTACCCGAGAGACAGTACAAAATGCCTTTGAAGAAATTGTTGCCTCCCGTTCACCTGATTTCTTCAAGAAGGGCATTAATAAACTACCAATGCGTTGCCAAAGATGCATTGATTGAATGAGTGATTACTTTGATTAATAGAAATAAAAAATATAGAAACAAATACGCTTCAATTATTTCATGAAAAACGGCAATTTCGTAGGTAAAGACCTAATATATACATATTATAAGGGCGCGTGATTAATGCGATATCGAATTGCTCGAAAAGCCTATAAAAAGTTTAACAAGATTATGGTGTACGATAATTACCGCAGCAGTTGAAAAACTGAACCATAAAATGAAAAAACTCACTTAATTAAAATGTTATTTTCGCCCTATTAGAAAGGGACAAACCTCTATACTTGATATCTAGCTCGGTTCGCTTTTCAGCTGGGAGTACTCTGTCCTGTTATAAGTATTAAGTCCATGGGAGACAATGAGACAGACATTTTTATTTTGTGATGTTCATTGGTATCAAAGAGTTATATGTAGTACAAAGAGTACAGACAGTAATTATACTATAATTATTACATATTTTGACTATTATGAATAAATCATAATCTGACAAAATTAAAAAGCTGTACTGCCGAAACTGTTGTAGGGATTAGGCAACGTTTTAAATTTAGTAGAGTTATAGTGACATGAGAATCAAGCTGGAAACAAATTATCGGACGCGGCTGACGAACGCGGCTGTCAGCCGCGACTTATAGGCATCTACGTAATGAATGTACACTAAGTTGTTCAGACTATCGGATGTTAGTCGTGGACGTAACCTTGGGCTAACCTTCAGCCTTCGGACGTCCGACAAGAATCTGGCTCGCTGGATGTTTTTATCAGCCGAAAACGTCCGCGGACGGTATGCACGGGGTGCGGGACGCGTCCTTGCATCAGAAGGACGCTGATGACGCAAGAGATTCCATGTTTCCATATGCGTTAAAAATGGAGGAACGAATTATATAGTGTGTTGGCAACAAAGAATTACTTTATAATCCTAAATTGAAGGATTATAAAGATGTTATAAAAAAAACATATAGGAGTACGAAACTGTGTTGATTGTTTTTCAATGTCGTTTTCGATTAGATTTAGCAAAAAATTAAATTGATCCTCATTCATTCTCAAATAAAGTTTATAGCGACATTCATCTCTTAATAATTGTGGATACAAAGTGTGAAATTCACCACACTCCGTTCTTTCTTTATTTATGTCATGGACCCAAACGTGGACGTACTTCTTTTTATTTTCTTTTTGGCTGGAAAACATAAGGCTGCTGCCGCTAATTCGAAAAATTCGTCCTCACTTTCACTACTCGATACTCTATCGAAACGCGTCCGCAAGCCGCGTCCTTGAAGACTGTGCAAACTTATAAGTCGCGGCTGTCAGCCGCGTCCGTCAGCCGCGTCCGATAATTTGTTTCCAGCTTCATGCCGAAACTATCTATAACCCTGCTTCTTTAGGTTCTTTAAGATGAACACTTTTTATTATAATAATTATTAACTGTTTTAAATCAGTCAAATACTCATAAATTTGTTTAATATATAGCTTAAAAGACTACGGTTAAGTATAGCAGCTGGTATTTAAGTGGATATGTAGCAAATTAGCCGTTAGTCTTAAGAGTGCCATGATTGTTGACATTTTGTCACATAGTATACCATAAAAAGAACCTTATTTTCATTCTGTCATTCTGTCTAATGCTATAGCTATAATGAAAAAAAAAAAAAAAAAAAAGCTATAATGAATGGAGTATAGGGTTATCTTGATTTTTGTTTGAAAAATATCAATTATGCAGTACTTTTAAATCGACAATTTCATCTTTATATGTGTAGTATCAACTAAATAGGGCTTGTAGTGTTATGTAATTTTAATACTTTTCTAAGATTTCTCTGCATTTTAAATCTGTACAGTTTTACTCTTTGTTAAGCGCTAAAGGGACCTTATTTCTGTAGGTGTATCGACTTTACTGAGCACTGTTATTGTTTTTCTCGCTATATAAATAATGGATTATAGACGTAAGACAGGTCGAAATGATGAACCTTCCCATGATTCTCCAACATATTCCCGATTGTTTATAGTCAGTGATAAAAAAACTACAGAAGAGGAAATAAGAGATGCATTCTTAAAGTTTGGTACCATCGAAGACATACGAATGCCTCGCGACCACAATACTGGTATGTCGAAAGGTGTGGCTTTCATTAAGTTTTCTAAAACGTCAGAAGCAGCCTTTGCTCTAGAGGAAATGCACTTGAAAACATTACCAGGTTACAATAGACCGGTGAAAGTAATGGTAGCTGCCAATAAGTCCGAAATACAAACTGATGATGATAGTGACAAGTACAGAAGATTATTTATAACTGTCCCTCATCAAACAACAGAGGAGGAAATAAAAGATTATTTTTCTGCTTATGGTCGTGTTGATGATGTGTATATGCAAAAAGACCGTAACACAGGTGAATGTAAAGGTTTTGCTTATGTTAAATTTAGGAGATTTTCTGAAGCTGCTATTGCTATTGAAGAATGTGATCAGATATACAGAGCTATTTTTGCTTTGCCCAAGGGTCACAACAGACGCCAAGAGACATCATTTGAATCGAGCATTAACTCTTTGGCTTCTACATCTACTAAAAGAAATGCTCTATTTTCTGCCATGAAAACATCCCCTGAAGGTTATGTTCGTGTTAATTTCATGTGTGGTCCCTTCCTTACACAGAGACAGGTAGAAAGAATATTTGACATTGTCCCAGGCATGGTGAACTGTCAATACTTTGTAGATCTCATGCTAAACTGTGGTAAAGGCACAGTGACTTATTCCAATCCAGTTTCAGCTGCATATGCAGTGGAAAAATTAAATAGATTTGAATATCCTCCAGGGGTAAAAATATTTGTTAAACCTGATAATTTCAATTTTGATCCACAAGAGCAGAACTTTAGTAATGTGTCACATCTAGTGACAAACCTAAAAAATACTATTGCAACATCTGCAAATTCCTCATCTCCAGATTTAGCTCAACTAGCAGAGGCTATTGCAGAGGCATCCAAATTGATCAAAATGGCAACCACAGGCATCACAGATGATGAAATACCTGATCTTAATGACTTGAACTACTGTAGTGTGAAATTACCAACACAACAACCACTCGCTGACATTGACAGTCCAGTAGCTAAACGATGTTTTTTGGTTTGCAAGCCCCAACCACCTCCTTTGACAGTTTTACGTGACATCTTTTGTCGTTTTGGTGACCTCATTAATGTTTACACACTACCAGGGAAAACTATTGGGTATGCTCGATATGCATCTGTTAAAGCAGCCGAAGAGGCTATGAAAGTTCTCCATGGTGCAGAAATTTGTGGTGTTCGTATAAAAGTATTAGAAGCTGAAGATGAAGCGCCCCCAAAGAAAACGAAATATAAATGACATGACAGTTAAAGGTTACTAGTGTGTAATTTTATGGACTTTGATTATGTTGACGCTACAGTGTAGACTAATAAATTCATTAATTTACAGACTGACATTGTTTTTAGACTGTAATTTATAAAGAAATATTTGACAACTTACCCCTGGTCTCAGACAGACAGATGACAAATATGAATAAATGTCAAAACCTTTATAAGTTACAGACTTTTTTCATAGTAACCCCCTTTTCTTCAATTTTATTAGACCACAGATTTATTATACAGAATAAATTTGCAATCAGAGCACAAGTTTTTTTAACTTTATAGTCTTTGGTAGAATTAGTAACATTTTCATATTTATTTTAATGGTAATCTACAAATTAGGTGGTTCATTTACAAAATTTGGTTGTCAACCACCATGTATACTCTCTAATGTTTCAATGTGCAATGGATTTTGATCTCTACCCTCCATATATGTATAGTCGGACGTTCAGTTGACTGTACTCATACAGTAGGGACATAAGAAGCAACATAATATTCTTCAATGTTATGTTGCTTCTATTATATTATATTATATTATATTATATTATATTATATTATATTATATATGTTGCTTCTATTATATATTATATATGGACTTCTTTTTTCTTCCTTTGTCTGAAGTTAATAGGGTAAGAGAAAAAAGATTGTGACTAGATTTACATTGGTAATAAACACAAGATTAAAATTAGTGCACTGATTACAAATTTTTCTATATACAGACAGATCAGATGACGCACTCTTTGGTTAAGTTAAGACTATTATTCTTCCAAATTGTATAGTCTTAAAAATATCATTAGAATTGATGTAATAGTAATACATACGAGGGTGGTTTGAAAAGTTCTCGACCTGACCAAGAAAATAAAAATGTGATTTATTTTCCTACATATTTTCCCCTTGTCTCAATACGAGTTGTCGAATGATAATAAATTAGTTTACATACTACCCTCAAATCTTGGTCAGGCCGAGAACTTTCCAAACCGCCCTCGTATGTATTACTAATACGCCAATTCTAATGATATTTTTACCCTCGTACATTACATAACTTTGAAAATAACAACAAAAGTGAACTTAAGACTTAAAAGTTTATTGCACACACAGCCTTGATGAACAAAAATAATTGACAAAGTAGATAATATCAAAACTTAATGTGATGATTCAATCACTGCTTGTCTGAGTAACGGCATCAACTGTTCTTTATACAGAGGATGTTTATCACCATGAGTGATTTTCAGAATTTTCTCTGAAGACTTTAATTGATGTAATGCCTTATCTAATTCCATTGTATACAACAGTATCTTCCCATACTTTAGATGTAGTAATCCTAATAAAGGATGTCGGTCTCCGTAATAGAACCTGAGAAGAATTTTGGATATTATTTTCCTACTTTTGGAAAATTTTTGGATATTATTTTTCGAACTTTTTAGAGATACTCAACTCACCTAAAACATGGAATCAACCTCTCAGCATACTCGCATGCTTTTTGCCAAAGTTCAACTTGAACAAAAGCATCAAAGGCATGATCCAGCGTTTGAGCATGCATCACATTGAGTGGATGCAGAACTCCTTCTTGTCTTTCCAAACAATATTTACAAACGTCAACATCTGTATCATAGTTAAGGTAAAATAACATCCCGTCGTTTTTGCGTCGGGGGTTAAAAAAATCAACCAAGTGCGAGTCGGACTCGCGCACGAAGAAAAATCACGTTTGTTGTTTTCTATGGAGTTTTCGTGTTAAAAACAAATTAATGTCGACTATTACTCGTAAACTTCCAAAGCCCACTTAAGTGTGATAGATTTCCTTTTAACTTCGTTGTATATAGGTACAATGCTGTAACGTTTGAATTTTACCAACGACCGTTTCGTTCGTAGGCGGGGTGGGAGCACTTGACTCTAACTAATATTGTTGGAAAGAACTATCTAACAATGCCTCACACATGGGGACGACGAAACAAAATAGTTACCCCCCTTGATATGTGAGGGAGGTATCCTATTTTTTTTTTTCGTAATTTTACCTTAGCACTTTCTAGAAAAAAAACTTTCTAGCACCAATAGTTTTGAGCGAAACCGCGGGCGGACATGGCGAAACTATAAAGGTTACTCATTTACTACGGTATCTTAAAGATTATAACATCAAGATGATGAAAAGCCAATTGATCACAGACCCTTATGTGGAAGTATGGTCAGAGAAACTTGCGTTCTAGCACTCAGATTCCGAAAATTAATTGTACCATAATTCGAAGATTTGCTACCAGAATAAATGTATTATAAGTTCAACAATATAAAAATAAGAAAGCGTTCTTATGAAATGCTTTGGTAAAGGATACAAGCCACAGAAGCCTCTTTCATATTCTGTAAATGTAACTCTGTGAATTCCATAGCCTTGACGAATTGTTCGAGATGATTCTCAGTATATTTAGTGCCGCACCCACTACAACGCACAACATCATCAGAGGTAGATATGCCGTTGTCATTGGCGAATTGATCAACAAAACCATTAGGTCCCCCATTTACCTCTGCACAGTCAGAGGCAAATTCTCCATCAGAAATTGGCGTGTTTTGTTCAAATTTCCGGACGAGCTGACAGTTTTCTTTCCAAGATATAATAACTGGGTCATCACAGGATTTGTTGAGACACTTTGCAGCATGTACCATTTTCAATTGAGTCTCATCTGGAGAAGAAAAATGTTAGCATTTAGCAACGTTAATATTAAAGCACTTATAATGTTTTGTAGCAATAATTTGCGACCAAATGAAACAAGTAGACATCATAAGCAGTTTTTAAACACCCTGATAAGCAAATAAGAAGAATAAATTTCAGCAATCATAAGGGGCATCCACAAGGGCTAACAAATAGTAATGGATCATTATTGTTCCACTTTATGAAAACAAATTCTACATAATCCTTTAAATTGAAAAATAAATTACTGCAGTTCTGGGATTTTTTTTTTATTTAATACACTGACCGCAACAAGCAAATCAAAGATGTTTTGAATAGAAAAGACGATATGAATAAATTAGTAGGCACATCTAAAGCATTTACCCATGCACCTGTCACACTGGCATAAGAAGTAATAATTGTCTAGGAGTTCGGTTTGCCTCTCGTAAGGAGTCTTCATTAAGTCTATGTACGAAATTCGTATCTGGAAAAGAATGGACTATTCAGTAATACCGAAAAGCAATTAAGATGATAATTCCAATATACGTATGGGCGACACATCTAATAAAAAAATTTCAGTTTGAATACTGAATTTTACTTATAAACCAGGAATTCACACGCTGTTTACAACAAGATTACAACTTAATTGTTATTCTGTTATAACAACAGCCTCAAATTAGATGTCAAGCGCAACGCTGTCATAACATAGAGGTTCAATCAAATAAAACGTTATATTAATTAATAGGGGTCGATTATAATAGACCTCGTCACTCCCCAAAATCAGTTTTTGTCTATATGGACTACTGGGAAATTGATTTCGATCTCAAGAGGGAACTTTGGGAATACCTGGTATAAACGTTACACGTGAGTTTTATATCTATATTTAAATAAATTCAATATAAAATTATGGTTTCCCTGAATAATCTTTTCAATATATCTATGACATTAAGTGATTTAAAAAAAAAAAAATTCAGTGACTATTTAGCTCTTACCACTTTGACTTAATATTAAGGCATTATTGGTTTTGAAACGATAAATCTAATAAACAAAACAAAATGCCAAGATTTGCGAATAGTATGGCAAATAAATCTTCGCACCTGAGACCAGTCCAAGCAAGGCATGTCTTTCGTTGCTCTGATGCTAATCGTCTTCCCGTCGAACGTAGCTACTGCATTCGGATCACAACTATGGTCGAGGATGGAAGCGGCCAGATATACACCCGTACCAATTGAATTCAATTCGTTGTCTAAAATCGTAAAGCTATTGATGACCATCTGAAATGGTATTTCTACCTTAATTAAATATGTGCAAATTGCACTCCAACAAAATAAGTTTATTTAAATTAAACAGGTGCAACTGCATGTTAGGATACCACAATAAGTCACCGCAATTGATTTTGACCCTCCTACCCTTTATTATTAAGGTTATTATAGCCCGACGTGCTGTTGACAGTCACGCGTAAAAATGTCAACATTTTATAAAACAAAATAATAGTCTATTTGAGAAAACAATACATACTCGTCCATACAGTCCCAAAAGTTCCACGGTATTTGGCAGCGACAAATCTCTCAGGAACTCGTAAAGAACTCCGCACAATGATGTAAAATGATCCATTCTTCTTTTATCAGCCTTTAGGTCTGAATAATCTGAAAGCATTATAAGTTATAAGAGCTAGCAGCGCTCTAGCTCAAGATACTTTGCGCCCCTAGGCAAAACACACGAGGAAAGCAAAGATTAATTACTAGTTTCAATTGAAAAGTAGAATGTTGCTAATTACAAAACAAACTCGGTAGATACCTGCTAATCTAACAATTTTTTTACTTTTGAATACAATAGACACGAATGTCTAAAGAAAGAGTGTTTTTTAATGCACTGTAACGTCCGTATACATTACTATAGGTAGATTTACTCTCCGGACGATTTATTGTCAATGCTGGCCGTTAATTTTGAATTATTACTTTTCCGTGTTCGAATTCGCGTTGTCGTGTTTTGCTGGTTGATAATTTTCTTCTGATTGAGAGCGACATAAAGTCTGTATCTTAGAATTTACTTATAAGTGAGTTGATGTATATCATTTGCAAATAAAATCGAGAGTTTGAAGAATTACACCCAGGATTTCATTGAGCAACGCTAAGCTACTGCTGATTTCACCATAAGAGCACAGAATAGGTTTAAACAATTAATGCAAAACAGGTTTTACTATGCCACCCTAAACTAAGCTAGGTAATTGCCTAGTTCGCTTTTATGGATGGGCCGACCCTAGGAGCTGGTCACATAGTAAAACAGATCTCTCCTCTGAATCAGCCTTTATCTTAACGAACAATTGGTTTATTGTGTGTTTAATAAATGTTCTATTTTTCATTAATCAAATATATACAAGACGGTGAAAGATACCAGGCATATTTTCACCTTTTACTCGGAATGATCCTAGAGATATTAACGGTTTATGGTCATACTTACGTGACATAAGATCCTTCCACATCCTAAATGATGTACCAGAATAGAATGCTCGATGCGAATGCCCATCGCCTCTGCTCAGCTTATTGACGATCTTTGCTAATATTCTAGCTGCATCGGGGATCACCTTTGGTGTTATTCGCTTTAAGTTGGCGCATTCCCACTGAAATTATAATAGATGCCCATTACGATTGCTTTTCTATCATATCTATGACAAACTTTCCGCCAGCGAGTACGCACGCGTGGTCCTGTATTATACATATAGATCTTCCTCTTGAAACACTACAAGGTTTCGTTTTCGAAGTGAATTCGAACTCCTGAAGGCCTACTCTGTTTCTACGAAAACGCAAATTCAGCTATTTTCGAAACCCTAATAAGACTCTTAAAGGAACACATTTTTCGATAATTAATAATGAAACAGAGGTAGGACCCTGACACTGCTTCTGATGGACAGATAATATCGACGCATATGATTTTCAAAAAATTGTAAGAACGATTCGAAATTTTTGTAATTTTCGTTCGTAGACAAACAGAGTAGCCCCTCAGATTTAATTCGAATTCTGATTCGGATTTTTACGGAATCGCTATGTAGAATATACTTTATTTTTTATAAGTGAAAATTTGTGCGATAAAACTGTATTGCGAATAACTGTAGTTCGAATTTACCCAAATGCCGCATCTACCTAGTTTCATATTACGGCAGTAACGCATAATCATTTGGCGCATTGGCGTGGTCTCCAATATTGTCGCACAAAAATGTTGTCGACATACACTGTAGCTCATTAGCGTACATTCGAAGCACAACTATTCGCAATTTAGTTTTGTTGCACAAATATTCATCCCATTTCCGATTGTCGGACTCACAGAACACAGAAACCTCTTTTCTGTGTTCTGTGGTCGGAGTCATCTGATGCACTCATTTTATATTATATATAGACGAAGCTCGGCGGCGTAGAGGATAAGCGCCGCGGCCCGCGATCGTTGTTGTAAAGCAACTTTCGCAAGGGTCGGTCACGGGATGGGTGATCAAAATTATTATCTCGAGCTACTTCGTGCTTCGGAAGGCACGTTAAGCCGTTACTTTTTAAGTTTTGGGAAACTAAAAATATTGCACAATTTTTTTCCAAATTAATTTCATAACAAATTATAATTGTGTACGTAAAATAACTAATTAATTGTTTCAAGGAATGTGTTATTTAAAAACAGTGTTATTTAAAAACACATATAAAAATAATGATATCTTTTGATCGTTCCCGATCTAAAAACAGAGTTGAAATGTTACGTCACGGCAGACGAACGTATGCAAAAAGAAATAGAAACTGTTACATCAGGAAATGGCACGTAGCCACCGACCGTGTTACTGGTACACATCAGAAAAATTCAACAAATTAGTTTGACGGACAGTTCTATAAAACGTTTGTTTTGGAAGATATATTTGGACCATTATTTATAAATCGAAACATATCTCAAATCAATGTTCTTCTAGTAAGTCGGAGCTTCATTCCCCCTTCTACTATTCATTAGTTAGTATTTCTTTTTAATTTTATTTTATAGATTTACGATACTGTTACAGACAGAAGTTCAGTCGTACTACCCTCAAGTCGCAGAAGTGTAATTAGAGGCGATATAAAGCGTCAGTTATTATAACACAAGTGCAATATTTATTCTATCTAGAAAATAAGTCAATCGCATGTAGGATATAATTCATTCTAGATCGATATTTGGATGACTGAATTTTTTTATTCTTAGCATTTCAATATTTTCTGTTTTTTACATTACCCACTTTTTTTAGACCCCGGCGAAAAAGTGTTGCGTTATCTCTCTTTAGTCATTCACTCTTGGCAGAGTGTAGTGGGTTTCATGATGATGCCTCCACTTGTGTCGATTTTCAGCATTACGAAAACATTGAATCATGGAGTTTTTTGTCATGGTCTTTCTGGTGTCGGTCCAAAGAGTAGTTTGTAACCAACTACTACCCATTGGGTGTTGTAGTTTTGGCCAAAATATGTCTGTCAGTTCCAAAATAGGCGAACTGATTTGTATGCAATTTTTTTACACATAGAACATGAGATCTTCAGGTGGTAGGGTGGAAGGGTATTTTTTCAAAACCAGATCATCCATTTTAATATATCCAAATGGCATGATGTATAACTTGCAATTAGAAATTTTTATTGAAACAGAATTAGCAATTTTTATATGAAAGTGGTGTTCTAATATTTACAAATATACTTAAGTGGGATATCAAATGAAATAGTACAACATGTATATTACGATTAAATATGTTTTATTAAAATATGTTTAACTATTTACTAGGTATGGGGAGAAACTGGATGTGAATAAAGAGTATGACATAAAATGAAAAGGCATGACGTGCTATTACTATTAGAAATGTTTTATCAAAAATGGGGGGTAAAATTAGTGATGAATAATACAATATTGATAAATATATACAAGTGAAATATCCAGTGAAAAGGAGTGACATGTATCTTACAGTTAGATATGTTTTATATCAAAATCAGTTTAGTTATTAGGTGTAGAGAATAAAACTTTTAATGAATACATCCAAATATTATATGCTTGATATTAAATGTGGCACGTCCACTCTGCCTACTCAACAAGGGATACTGAGTGAAGATGTAGAACAATAGACTTTTAAATTTATTTTAAGAAAAGCAGAAAATAAAATCTAGCATTTTATTACAGGAAATAATTTTATAGTTCAAGACTTAAGATAACACAATTTTAGATTTTATTTTTTGTTTTGTCAATGAATTATAATAAAAGTTTTGGTTATATTATTGGCTGCATTGATAGCAACCTCTACTCTCAATATATTTAGGCTTTGTAGTATGACATGCAGTTGACACTATATAATAAATGGGATTTTATTTAAATAATATAGAGCATTATAAAAAAAAAATAGAAAACAACTTTCAAGACCACTCAAACCTTGATATAGACATTGACCATGTATCAACATACCTTGTGATCTGGCCAAGCGTCTTTCTGGCATGCACGCCCACAGTAGTGTGCAAACTGGCATCCAGAGCATTTGAGCACCTTGCCCCTGAAAAGTGTAGCAGTCATCACAATATAGAGGTCTTTCTAATACTTTCATCCCCATCAAATTATTTACAATTAAAATTTAATATTCATTATACTAATATGAGCAGAAATTAAACATTTCATTTTATTGTTAATAAAGATTATAATTAAATCAAAAATATTCATGAAATATACTCACTTCTCCAAACAATTATCACATCGACTCCCCTTCTCTTTGGATGATAGAACATATACAAAAGGTTGTTCTGTCAAAATGAGATCACCGGCACGTAACGCCGAATCAGTATTCCTAAATTTATTCTTCATGTCTTTTAACTTTTCTTATTATCGTTTGAGGTAGATTTGGTCTTAATTTAATATTAAAAGAAAAATACTGTATTGTAACAAACGTATTCGAAAGCGAATGTGTTTGGAATGTATGTGGAGGATACAGATAGTTACGTGCGAATTACAAACGCTGAAAATATGTTTTGGCTCAGCTACCTGAGCCTCCAAAATTAACTGCTCGCAGTTATATTACTCGAAGTCAAAGCCGGGTCAGTAGGCGCTTCAGCAGAAATACAAACAAAAACGGTCCTATTATTAGAACTCGCCATTTATTTAATCATTTTGTAAAGATACGGCTACAATCTACAACAAGAAAAATAAAAGCTACAAAATAATTACTTTACTTACTGTCACTAATCTAGGGGGGGCACACTTAGAAGAAAGTGTTTACGCTTAGAAACTAGCGCCATCTATGAACATGTACACAAACTTTTACATTTAGCAAAAGTTCACTAGATGTCAGTGCAATCAGCGTTAAATGTCATATCAAACGTCAACAAAGAAAAAACATGGCAGACAGAATCGATTGTTGTGCGGTGCGCCTGCGATTAATCTGTTTTGTTTGTTACATCTTGTAATTTCACGTTTAGAAGTTACATTTGTGCAAAACCTTTCCAAGCTAGTACGTTGAGTTGAGTATCATTCTCCTCCGTATATTTGACCAGTGTGAGACAGGACTCCTTTCGTGTTAGTTAAATAGTGAGTGTTTGGCGACATTTGGACGCAGTGATAGTTTAGTGTGTGTTGTGTAGTTATAATTAGTGTTTTAATATGCCTCCAAGGTGCTTTCTTGGATGCCCAAGTGGTAAGTAGTATTTGATAAAGATTATAACCTGCGCAGACGACGGACTTCTCCGCCGACATACTAACCTAAAAGTGGAAACATTTCTGCGAATGCAACGTAAACGAAGATTGTTCTGCCCATGAAGCTCTTCCTGCCTCCTTGCTAGACCTTTACGAATAAAATAACCGTCGTATGTTTTGAACAAATGACGAAACCACCACTATACCACTTTTTAGTCCGGCGGACAAAAGTCCCTCGTCTGCGCAGACCGTTAATAACTATTTTCTTGCGGACACCATACTTTGTAAGGCCATCTAACTTTGTGACTTGTGAGTTTGAAACAGAGAACTCCATGTGAGCACTGTCTTAAGATAAATGTGCACATGCCACCAACCTTTTGTACATGTCTATCATGACATATCATTCATCACCATCACCAGCCCTTTTACGTCCCCACTGCAGGGGCTCAGGCCTTCCTTATGGATGGTTAAGGAGGATGGGCCATGAGCATCCACGCTGGCCCAATGCGGATTGGAGGGTATTAACGACTGCAAATGCAGCCGGGACCAACGGCTTAACGTGCCATCCGAAGCACGGAGTAGCTCGAGATAATAATTTTTTGGTCACCCATCCCGTGACCGACCCTTGCGAAAGTTGCTTAACGACTACGATCGCGGGTCGCGGCGCTTATCCACTACGCCACCGAGCTACTCATATCATTATTCATATTAAATCACTATTCTTAGACACACTTATTAGACCACTGTCTAAAATGTAAATTTATATTTTTTTCAGATAAGGGAGTACACTTGCATGTATTCCCAAACCCAATACGATTTCCCGAACAATTTAATCAGTGGGTGCAAATTGTTGGAGGGTCACTGACAACAGATGGAGATTATGCATTCTATCGTAAACAAAGACTGTGTGATAGACATTTTACAGAAAACGACAGAAACAGAAATAACCGATTGAATGCTGTTGCAGTTCCATCATTGTTTTTGAAAGGTATATAGCCACAGTTACAAAAAAAATTATTGAACCCACATTTTGTGCTAAGAATTGTAGCTTGTAGTTTTTGAGATTATTTCATTATGTTTTTTATTTTCAGGTGAACTGCGACATCCAGTGACTGAAACTGTAGGTGCTTTTGAAACTGTGCCACAGATATCTATGGATGTACATGTACCCCTACTTCGAAGAACTTCTATTATTGATGGTAAGGAACTCATTGCTTAACATGTTTTTGTTTTTAACTTATTGTGTGATTTTTTTGTATGATAGGTAAGTGAACATAATATCAAACTGATGATTATGCTGCATAATATTACAGACTTCAAATACTTAAATCTATTTGAAGGATAATCTATCTAATCTTATAAATAAAATTATTGTGTCTCCCTGTGATTTATAAATAGAACCTGTTTCCTTAGCCTTTCGCCTGTCCCAGTTATTTATTAAATTATTTTTATCCTATACATAGGACTTTTTTCTCAATAAGACACTTAATAGATTACAGTTATTTTATTACCATAATTTCGCTAACACAATCTATCAGTTAACAAAAAAGTAATAAAATTTGTAAAAAATATATATTCATCAACTTTTAATGGTGATATTGAATGTTTCCAATTTTAAAAATAATGTGAATAAAGTATTTTTCATATATAAATTTTTTTTGTAATGAGATGGAATTGCAGTTGGAATATGAGATTAATAAGGGGTACCAAAAAGTTCTATTTATTTACTTTTCATTTCCTTAATGTCAGTTTGAAACAACTCATTGTTTTTAAAATTTGCAGAGTAATAATATAATGTTATAAATAAGATAGTATTGAAAAATGCAAAGCTTTAAAAGTTATAAAACATTTAGATAAATAAATAAATTTACAGATGAACCTGCAGCCAGTGCCTCAGCATCAACAGTCCGAGTTTCTGAGCCTGCAACAGAAATTACTATGGATGTTTCTTGTCATCAGACATCATCGATTGTATACTCGACAGGTAATCATTTGAGAATCACTTAATTTGGCAATATAATGTTAAAATTTTTACTTAAACCACCTAAAATTTTTTCTAATACATATACATTCCTATACTTTTTTACTCTCTACTTGTATTTATTATCATAACTAATGTTTTAGAAATTTATAAAATGGTTGATTACTGTAACTAATAGGTACTCAATGAATTTATAAAAAATATGGTTCTAAAAGTCATTACAATCTCCACATTTTTGGAGCATAATTATAGCAATTTATTGCTGCCTAGAAAATATAACATGGCTCCTATTGGTAAGATTATTAATAATTATATAATAGTCCTGTCAATGAGTGTTCAAAAGTGGCGTCTAGATGGAAAGCTCGAAAGCAGCAAGTTCGGAACTTTGTTTGAACTAGTTAGGAGAAAAATGCAACGAAAGTTCGAAAAACGGTTAATTTTCAAAAATGTGATTTTTACTTCACGTTATTTCAAAAGGAACGCTTATGGTGTGACTAAGTCTATCTGTCTGTCTATCTGTCACAGCTGGATATCTCAAGAACTACTAAAGCTATCAACTTGAAATTTGGAATAGTCTTACCGTCGTTGTTGCCATCGATGATGGCGAATTTCACGAAAGACGATTTTTTGGACCATTCAGCAAAAAATCTCATCTTCATCATTCATTAACTTCTCTCGTTTTCAACGATTTCGGCCGTTTTTACTTTTTTTCACGCTTGTAAAGTACACAATTATTAACCAATTTCACTCTGAGAGGTCTCAATCGACGCGCAATCTGTCTTCGAAGATGTGTTTTCCTATTTTTTCAATATATGTAATAGTATTTTTTTAATTAATAACTTACTTAAAAAAGATTTAATTTTTTTCCAGATATTTTTACAATTTTCGAAATTTCTTTAAAACTATCTAGCCAATTTTCAAAATTCATTCACTATCGGATCCACAATTAAATTCTGAACCTGAAGACACTTGTTCCATAGCGAAATCTTAATTATCCTTGGATATAGTGAAATAGCGTATGGGTCGAAAAGGATTTGATAGACATGTGCTTAATTACATTTTTGTAGGTTGTATTTGTTTGTACCTTGGGCAAAGTCTAACAAGTATTTTTTTTTTCAGATAAAATCAACAGGAAGCCTATTTTGACGCTCAGTAAATATAAAAATGAGCAAAACCTAATAAAAGGTTTTAAACGACAGATAAAGGTGCTTAGACAGCGGTGCAATACATTCAAGAGCAGATTAGAAAGTGCATCTAAAATGAGTGAAGACAAAGCATTACAAAAAGTTACAAAAAACATGTCTTCTGCTGCAAAATTATTTACAAATATGCAGTATAAACAAACTGCTAAGAAACCGTCTGGGCGGAGATTCTCATTAGAGGAAAAAATTTTATCTCTTTCCCTGTATAAAAGAAGCCCAAAGTGTTATGCCCTTTTGGCGCATTGCTTCACATTGCCGTCAAAAAAAACCCTAAAAGCAATTCTAGCTCAGGTTAAGTTAGGACCAGGTATAAATAATAAAGTTTTCAAAAAATTGAAAAAAACTGTTAAAGATATGAATGTTCAAGAGCGACTCTGTTCTTTAATATTTGATGAGATGCATATAACGCCACAAATAAATTTTGACATGGCTAACGATAAATTTAAAGGTTTTGTGAGCATGGGGACAAGTGAAAATGATAGCGAAATTGCAGACCATGTTTTAGTTTTTATGGTGAAGGGTTTGAAAGCCAACTTTAAACAACCAGTAGCTTACTTTTTCACAAACCGCCTCACGAGAAATAAATTAAAAAATATTATAGAAGAGGTAGTTCAAGCAATACAAGCTACTGGTTTGATTCCCCTATGCTCAGTCTGCGATCAAAGCTCAGTAAATGTTGGAGCCATTACAGACTTAGTAAATGAAACCAAAGCTGTGGTTTTGCGACAAGGAAACGAATGGCGGTATGATTATTACGAAATTAAAAAACTTAAAATTATACCCCTCTATGATGTTCCCCATTTGTTAAAGGGTCTGCGAAATAATTTACTGACGAAAGATTTACTGTATAGAGATATAGATGATGACGGTAAAGAGAAAATTGTGAAGTGGGAATATTTTAGAAATATCTATGAAGCTGACAAAACATTTGGGGAACTTCGTTTATTGCATAAAATAACGGAAGAACATATAAACCCTGAAAAAATAAAAAAGATGAGGGTAAAACTGGCTGCTCAGATATTTAGTCACAGTGTGGCAGTTGTGACTGAACATCTGACAGCGCGAGGGATTTTAAAAGAAGAATGTCGCCATTTAATTCCTCTGGTCGCATTGGTCGACAATTTGTTTGACTCTTTAAATTCTAGTTCTTTTTACATCCCTAACGGGAAAATTTATAAAGGATGTGTAAAAAAATCGTCACCTCATCATAGACTTTGGACAAAAGCTAAAATTGTTTTAAAAAGCGTTAAGTTTGTTATGACTAAAAAGACCGGTGATAAAATTCGGTTAGTAACAAGCAGTGTACCAACCACAAATAATTTTATTAAAACTATAGAAGGGTTTGAAGCCTTGTGGTACATTTTGAATAATAAATATAATTTTGATTGTATGTTGACACGGCACTTCAACCAAGACCCTGTTGAAAATTTCTTCGGAAATATTCGCAGTTATGGTGCGAGAAATAATTCGCCTAATGCTGTCGCGTTTGAAGGAGCGTTTAAGGCTTTACTATTAAATAATTTTAATTCACCTCATTCAGTCGGCTCAAATTGTGAAAAGGACGAAAATAAATGCCTTCAAACACTTGATTTCTTTCTGGCAGAAAAAGAGCAATACAAAGAGAAGAATGATATTTCCGAAGAAAATTTTAATATTAATCTAGAATTACTCTTAAATGAGGAAATTGAAATAGATTTGGGCCAACGCAATTATGTATGTGGCTGGGTTGTAAAAAAATGTTTAACAAATGTTGTAAAAGGCTGTGTCACATGTAAATCTGAATTATTATGTGACAATAGTAATGTTTTTAATGAGTACATTAGATTAAGAGAATATAATAAAAACAAAAGGTGGCAAACTTATCCATCTAAGGAAATTGTATTTTTTTTTTATGAAGTACAACGTGCCACAGTTACATTATTAAAAAGAAATGTACCCAAGGCAAATATACGAGCCAAATTAATAATTATTGTAAAGACGTTGTACTCATTCCCATGTACATGTAAAAGACACAGCGATCAGTTATTTGATTATTTTGTAAAAACAACTATAAATGTCTTTATAAACAGTTGGTGCAGACAAATAAACCGAATTTTATCTGGCAAGATGACATATGAAGATGAAGGGGATGACGAAATAAAAAAATATGCACAACTGTATTTTAATAAACACAAGCATAAATAAATTGTAAATTTAGTTAAAAAAGAGTTTTATTTCAAAGTTTTGAGTGGAATTTTGTTAGGCGTATACTTGATTCTTTAACATTATGTGCGACATTATTAACACGTCTAATAAAACCACTTAAAACGAATTAACAACCTTCCAAAATAGAATTCTCCAAAAGAGAATTACAGTTCGACAAGGATCTGAGGTTCCATGAGTAAAATTTGGCCGCTCTAAAAAGAGCAATTTAGGCTCACTGAATGCAAGTATCGATTTACTATGGCTCTGGTAGTCTACAACCTAGTAAATCGAAGTATTCAGTAGGCCCAACTTGTTCTTTTTTCAGCACGGCCAAATTTTACCCATGGAACCTTTGATCCTTGTCGAACTGTATATACAGAAACTATATAAATATATAGGTACCTATATATAGTACGCTGGATGATTTAGTTTGCGTACAGGTTAAGAGATGGCGCCACTATTCAAACTAGGGTTTCAAAAATATCGGCGAGAGGGCTCTCTTTTTAGTGTAAATCAAATGTCAAATTGATTTAAGGCAAAGGGATTTTTCATCTCTTACAACTTAATAATAGTGTTTAATATTTCAAAACACTTAAAATTTGGTATATTGTCAACGTTTTTACACTTTTAAAGAAACTACAAAAATTTATGTCACTAGATGGCAGCACAAATTGTTGGATTTAAACGTCAATTCATAACGTTAAACCAAAGAGAATAGAATCCTCAATGTTGTTATCGATCTGATAACTCGGATTAGTATCAAGTTGAAATTTAATTAGTTCGAGTTATGCAAACGCAATGCGATTAATACAAAGTAATCTTTGAATAAATTTATTTTTTATTTGAATAGAGGAAAATGGAAACTAACATAAAGGAAGTGAGCACAGAGGTTTTTTTTTTAATTTATGGAAATCAATTGAATTAATGCTGTGATATAATTAAAAGTGGCATTTAGCTACAGCATACAATATTATTACAACCAAATAGTTTTTATAAACCAAAATACTTATGCCATAGTAGGTCTAGTAATTTTCATTATAATATTTAACAAAAGTTCTGAAAACAATAACAACTAGGTAGGTTAGTTTCAGTTTGTTGAACTTACAACAACAAAACTACATCATGTCTCAATAATATTTTTATATTATGTATGATGAATGAATGAAGAGGGCTTATTAATCAGCAACAAAAGTCATAAAAACGATAATTATACAAAAAACCGTTTATTAATATACTAGGTATTCATACAAAATAACATGACTTCTGGCTAAAATGACGTTTGTGCAAAGTGTAACGTGCAAATAACTTGTGCTTTCGAAATTAAGACTTTAAAAAACTATGATCAGTTATTAAAGCTTATATTTATAATTAAATCATCGTAATCAATATTCAGCAATCAATCAACAAGAAACGCGTCTTCTAAACGAAGAGTAAGGTTAAAACTTTAAATTTCAAAATCACAAAGACACGTACAGTTATGATACCATTGCTACTAATCTTGCATGTCGACGGCGGACGTCGAGCCATGTGTTAAGTTAATTCGTAAGGTAGGTATGTGCTTTTTGGTTCTTACAATAATATTGTTAATAATAGATTGACTTCCTACACAACCTACTCTAGAAATCAGTTTTATTGAAATATAAATATTATTTACTAAGTGCCTAGAGTAGTCATGCTCTCTTAAAATCTCTGTGGTGGTGTCGTGTGCGTTAGGTAGTTACGATCCCTCAAATATAGTATAGTTGAAATTAAAAAAGCAGCCCTTGCTGAGTTTCTTGCCGATTCTTGTTAGTACAAGATCTCCCGCCATAGTTTTGGGAAACATTGTCAAAGTTTTCGGCTTTCACAAGTACTATGTAACAACCTAGACTGAATTGGTTTTGATATTTGATTTGAGTATTATACTACCTATAGTATTACAATGTGTACTCATATCTGAACAGTACAATTTAAAAAGTTAATAAAGGTGGATTTTTAAATCAAACAAAAACTGTAAATTCATCACCTAAGATTATCATCATTATACTCCGAATCGCTAGAGCAATCTTGTAGATCCTAGACCGGTGAAGCTTTTTTCTTTTTTATTTGGAATTGATAATTTTTTATCAATATCTACCTCTGGCGCATCGGTCCATCCTTCTCCATATTTTTATTTATTAATGCGAACGATAGTAGCTCTACTAATGCCAAGAGCGTCAGCAACTCGATTGCACATTTGCGATAATGGCAACAACGACCCGCCATTTTGGTTCTCGCGTTTAAATAGTCCCTTAAACGAACCACAAACTCACGGCATTCACTATTTGGAACAGTCTCTTTTGCTCTCTTTGACATCGTGATACCAAAAATATACAAGGACAAGCACAATTGCAACTGTTTTATTTATAGATAAATAAGTTTATGTTATTATCAAAAATGATAATGAATTTAATTGTATTAAAAAAAATAAGCATATATGCTGTGGCACATCTGTTTTATAATCTTTGTCGACCACTCTGTGGCAACGTAATCTATGATATTTTGTATTTTGTAAGTGGCACTTCAACATCAAATAGTCTGAAAGTAAACTCATAACTGTGAACACGTTTATTTATTTTACCGATCCTTCGCATAAATAGAGTCAGATAGTAAACTTATCAATAAGTTAAATATCAACCTATACACTAATAAATAAAACACAAAACATTTCGGTAAAGTAGTGACTCCATACAATAATCGGTAAAGTGGTGACCCCGACGTGACGTGAATGCAAACAAACCAACAAATAATGAAGTCTATTCTCTTTCTTATATTAGGGGCCATCCATAAATTACGTCACACGTTAAGGGGGAGGGAGGGGGTCGACAAAGTGTGACATGGGGGTGGGAGGGTCCTAAATTTCGTAACGTCACATTTCAAAATATATTATAATCTTAGTGTTAAAACACGAATTTTACAAAAACTTTGCAAATTGTGTAACATCACACTAAGAGGGGGGAATTTTACAAATGTGACCAGCTCTCAGAATGTACGTCTCTATCTTTTTGTACAGTCCAGTATGACCTTATAATGCGTAAGCGTCACTTTTTATAAAGTTATTGCTAGTAGTTTAATAACCTATAAAATACGTTTTAGGTGAATTTTCATATTTATTATGCATTGCAGTTCACTTATGCTAATACCCATATGTAAAGAATAAAAATATAAGTGATAAAATTTACATTGTAAACATGACGCTTGTTCAAAGTTACTTCCATAGATTATACATAATACTGGGTTACTTCGTTGGTTTCATTGACATCCATTGACGTCCTGTGCATGTGTCACAGAGACCAACCTATATTTTATGAACTTTAGTATATTATTTTGACCGAAGGCTTATTGGCCAGCAAAAAGTAATACCCTAATCTAATTGTAGTTTGTGGAAGGTTCGTATCACTTTAGCTATTTGTTTGGATCATAGAGAGGTCGCATCAACTTTTACAGTTTTACTCTTTCTTTGGTTTTTTTGTACACCTTGTGGTACTTGTTTTGAAGTGTTTGTGTTTGAGGGTATTTTGTGATGGTTAGTTATTTTACTGATAAATATTCTTATTTTCAGTACAGTAATAATGTCTTTTGTATTAACAAAAGCTGCATTAGCTTTAAAGAATGCTGAAAGTAATTTTCAATTCGTCAAATTTGAAAGCTACAAACGCAAGAAAAAACAAGCAGCTGATACTGGAGATGCTGGAACAATTGACCGAGTATCTATACCAAATAAAAAATTAGATTTAAAAAAAGTGAGACACGAAGTAATGAAATTTGGGATATCTGGGTTTGATGCTACGAAAAAAGAAGAAGCTAAAATAGCATTGGCCGTGAGCTTAGGTATATAAACCTATAAATCTATACTAAACAAAACTTTGTATCATAAATGCTATGATGTATATTTTAAATTAATATTAGTGATCATTTTATTTATTTTAGGAGCAAAACCACCCAAACGCGAGTATATCAATTACAAAGAACTTATGCAAAAGAGGAAACAAGAAAAACAGAAAGAAAAGGATGATAAACAAGCAATGCACTCAAAAACTGTATTGCAGACTGCAGGCAAAAAGAAAAAGAAGCTTCAAAATGATGTTGGGCATTTTTTAAGTGGTTATGGAAAGGTATTTACTTTTATACTAAAAAAATTGTACTTATTTCAAACATTTAAAAGTGAGAAAAGCCCTCTGCTTGTATATATGGATTCTGTAGATTATTAACTGATAACCACCCAACTTCATTCGCAGTTTGCAAATAAAGATAAGTATTATTTCTTACTTTTTGAAGGTTGAAATAGGTTTTATTTTTTGGAAAAAATTGATGAGTTTTAGTATTGAATTTTCTGTTAGATATGAAAATTCCTCCATACCGATTTTGAATGAATGCAAAATATGCTATCTTTTGTTTTATCACCAATATAAACATATTGACGAAGTATTTTGGTGAAAGGCAAAGGTTATGTTATAAAAACAAAATCACCAATTCAATTTCAATAAAATTTATATGGGGCCACATTGGGCCCATAAGCTGTCTGATAAGAAACTCTTGTAAGTTTACTGATCTCTGTGCTTTGGGAAGCACATTAAGGCTGTTGGTCTCTGTAAAATGTGCAGGTGTTAATATTCACCAATCTGTACAAAGTTATCATAGTAGGTTTATTAGTCTTATAATGATGTACGTACACCTTTGAAAATAGATATATAAAAATTTGCATCTGTCGGACTATAAAATTTATTGTCTTGCTAGCGGTCAATAGTTTAATAAATCTTCTACTGATTACAGGTACAGAAAAAAGAGTTGAAGAAAGATAACAGTGGCCCTAAGAAGCAAAAAAAGAAACTATTGTAAAGAAGTATATTATATTATTCTTTTTTTTATAACATGACTGTTTTATTTGTACGTTTACTACCTTGTTTCCGAAGATTTCATAAAGGGTAACCTATGTTGATATAATGTATATTACTAATGAAGACGTATTTTAAGAAAAAAAAAGAAAGCACTAAAAAGCACCTCACTAGATGGTGACTACCAAAAGTTGAATTTCGCAGGAAACAAATGGACCAAAGATAGTCATTTGCGTTCATTTTAACAACATAATAAAAAACTGGAATTTGCAACGTTCGAAACTTAGATATCAATACAAATAGAATTTGAGTTGTTTATTGAGTTTTGAAAATTAATTAGTAGTAGAGAAGAAGAGTTTTGACGTCATCTAAAGAAACTGTATTTTAGATAAAGTCCGTAAGAAGCAAATAAAAAAGTTTTGTTTAAATGAAAACCTACATTTTTGTTTGAAACATATTTTACTCCTTGCAAAAGGTTGAACTTTTTCGAAATTGTATTTTTGCTATTAAGATTAATTCAGGAGTTTTCTTATTAGGCGTTTATACTGGTTTATGTTTGTAATATGTACATTAAAAAAGAAACATCTCGATGATTATTTGTCAATTCTTTTTTAATTGAAAATTAACTGTGTGCTTGAGTCTATTTTAACTTCTTAATCTAGGACAGAACTTCCCAAACTTGTTTTATACACTGCCCACTTGGAGAATAAATTATTTTTTAGCGACCTGATTTTCTCACCTGTTTAAAAACCCCTATAACTTCAAAGTAAGGAAATTAAACATTAACGAGACTTTATCAGCAACTGGCGAAATCGGCCCTTACTATAACTCGCAAGAGTTAACTTGAAATCTGAGCGCGGTTATTGAAACGCAACTATGGTGTATGCAGTCAGAGTATCTTTTATTCAAAATAAAACAAACATAATTGATTCTTATATAAAAGTCTTTTGATATCAGATAACAGTCGCAAGTTGCCAAATGCAAACGATTTAGCTTTTTAGTAAGCAGTGTTGCCACAGCACTAAATCCACGTTCATACAAATATGACGATGGGTATGCTATCAAGAATCGTTAAACGTTTGACGACAATCCAGGATACAATTGCGGGATCAGTTTTAACCAAAACTCTTGGTTACCATTTCTGAACTTGATTTTTATTTCCTTGTTTGTTGTCAATTCTATAAATGTGTTGTGGCGTTTGACCTGACCTGCCATTTCATTTTCTTTTACGGTTATCATAAAGAATCCACTTTTCATCACATGTTACAATAGGGATGATGACTGGGTAAAAAAAATGCAATTCTATTTAGTCCGTCAGTCAGATAATAATACCGATTCAACAAGGCAACATAAGTTTCAACACGCGTTTCTTTCTGCAAATTAGTCAAATCATGAGGCACCATTTTTCGTATTTTTTTATTTTATTGATCTGACGCAAATGAGTCAATATTGTGGGTAAGGTAACATTAAACCATGCTGCTAATTCCTGGGTAGTTTGACTAGGATCAGCTTCCACCATCTCTCTTAATTCATCGTTATTCTCCTGTGTGGCCGGTCTTCCTCGTGGCTCTTCTTCTTCAAGTCGAAGTTTCCATCACGAAAGCATTTAAACTAGACTTGCAACTAATATTCGGTTAGTATTGGGCCTATTCGGCTGCTTTTGTTATATTCGGCCGAAAACCGAATATGACCATACTATTCCGAATACTAAATTACATAATAATTATATTTTGTTGTAATTTGTAAAATAAAAGAAATTATTGATTTATTTTATAATTATATTATTTTAAAATTTCTCATAATCATGAAAGTCATGAATAGATTTATACATTTGAATTGTTGTCGTAATCAAAGGTTATGGTGTAAAAATTATTAATTTTTCTGCGTTTTCAGGGAGTCTTCTTTTTTTCACGTAGACTAGCCCAGTTTCAGAGAAAAGACGCTCTGAATAAACACAACTTCTTGGCGCCGTTGAATATTTTGTTACAATCTTAATCAAAATAGGAATGTTTTCTTGCTCGCCACCACGTATACGGTTTGTTATGCCGTGATATGTTATTAATACTTAAAAAAAGAACTGCATTTTTTTCTATTGATGTGTCTCTATGAGCTGTTTTTTCTGCTATCACTTCTTCTAAGCAATCAATAACAGTTGAGTGGATAGTCTGGCTTAGACTTTGCTCTTCAGTTTTCTTCTTCTTAGCCAAAGTAGGGGACAAGAATTTTCACATTTTTCTTGTCTAAGTTCAATAACAAAAACAAATGAAAGTCGATATTTAAATGTTTCAAATTTTTAAAAAGAAGAACATCGTAGAAACCATGCGAAAAAATCAAGTCAATTCAAGGAACCTATTATAATAACACGGCAATTTCATACTTTAACCCTTAATATTAGGGACAAAGATCGTATCGATTAAAATTAATCAAAACATTATTTAATCCTGCGTAAACAGTTTAAATAATTTGGTAGTTGATTTGAGAAGGAATATACTTAAAATGACAAATTAAATTGTAAACCATGGTTACTGTGGTAACAATTTAATGCTTTATTCGAACTTCCACTCCCATTTTCATCCCTTTGTGACAGGTTCGGTGCTTGGACCAATTAATGAAATGCTGACTAGCTTGAGAATGGATTTATTTATGATATAAAGTAAAGAAACTAACAAACAAAAACTGAATATAAACACAGTTCGTATGTTAAACTACATATAAAATTTCAATTACCAAATAAAACGAATGCATACCCTTTTTGGGTTTCTTGAAAACTTGGATCGGCCAAGTTACAGATTACACTTTACTATGTTATATAATTTCTATATGAATTTCTCATTATCCATTATTAAAAAAAAATTATAAATTTTATATTAATATTTATACGATTTAACACTTATGTTGATTTACACGATTATATCACAGATAATTTTTTTACGAACTGACATCCATAAAGAGTATATTTCATCATCATCATCATCATCAGTCATTTTACGTCCCCACTGCAGGGGCTCAGGCCTGCAGCCGGGACCAACGGCTTAACGTGCCTTCCGAAGTACGGAGTAGCTCGAGATAATAATTTTTGGTCACCCATCCCGTGACCGACCCGCGAAAGTTGCTTAACGACAACGATCGCGGGTTGCGACGCATATCCACTACGCCACCGAGCTACTCAAGTACTCTCTCTCTCTCTCTTCCAAGAGTATATTTGATTAATCAAAATTTCAAATTACAAAAGGTGAAGAAAGAAATGCTGTTGAAGTTCCAGTAGTACTAAGTAGTACTCCTACTGGAGTCTAGGACTACTGTCCTAGATTTTTGATTTCAATCAAACAAACAGTCTTTAGCGTTATTATTAGTATAGATATAGATAAAAAATGTACCCTTTAGGTACGTAACTATAATAAACTTTGAAGTAAGTAAATCGAACTCGTTTATAAGCAAAGTTTGTCGCTTTTGTTTTTCTAAAAATAAAAACGTAGTATCAGTAAGAGATAAAGCATTCGGCTATTTCATCATAACTTTAAAGTTACATTAGGTAATAATGAGGAAGTAAAAAAAAATAGTTCCCGAAATCAAACTAGATGTCGCTACGGTATTTTCTTAATTTTTCCATGACAATTCCGGTTTTCTTTCATATATAAAAAAAAGTAAATTGATTTTCAAAACTCAATAAACAACTTATATTTTATTTGAATATTTTCGTATTTGTATCGATATTGTTTTTTCGTATTTGTATCTAAGTTTCGAACTTTGCAAATTTCAGTTTTATAATGTTAGAGGAACGGAAATGACTCTTAGGACCATTCGTGTCCTGCAAAAATAAACTTTTGCTAGAGTAGCCACCTAGCGAGGTGCTTTTTAGTGCTTTTTTTTAAATACTTCCTTATTATTATTACACTTGATATTACACATTAGATTTTTAGTAGTATAGTTAAGGTGATTTGAGGATTATAATGTTTTGAAAGGAAATAATAAGGCTTTTCTATGTTAAATATTTTTTAATTGAAAATAACTAAATACTTCAAATATGTACAACAACATTTATATAAACAGTAAATTAATATTATGCAGGCAAGTTCATTTTTACAATAAATAAATTTTACATCTTGTAGTATAATATAAGCTAATTACATTTACAGAAATTATTATGCACGAAATTATACATAGGGCTCGAAATATTTAATGGCGGTCGTCATAGCGGGCGGTTTCTCGTTGATTTTGTTCGTTGTAAGGGGATTCTTAACTCTCATTTTAATATCTTTAGGTTTTAACACATTCTTGTGGTTAGCACTTGGTGGCCTCATTCCAAGGTATGCCTTACTAGGCGTAAATATAGATTTAGAACTAAGACCAGATGTCTCCAAGAAGAAATCAAAAGATCCTTTTATTTTATTAACATTTGTGTCCGCGTTGTTGTTCATAATCATTCTAGGCTCACATTTAACTGTATTGTAAGAGCCACTGTTGCTTCCTGATGAATTACTAGATTCTATATCGGAATTCCTCACAGATTCAGTCTCTAAATTCTCAATATTTGATAAAAGATCAGGCTTATTAGACAGCTTGCCGTTCTTTAACAGGGTTTTGTTTAAGGCACTTTCATTGTTTTCAGAAAAATTATCGTTTTTTTCACTCACTACATTATTATTGTTAGTAGCGTTTTGTTTATCATCTTTCTCAGGCACCATATTAAGAAGATGTTCAGTGACCATTTCAGACATGGAACCATCGCTGCTTCCAGAGCTTATGCGATATTCCTCTGCAACGATGCCTACGAGTTCATCGTCAATTTTAAATTCTTCAAAATTTTGAGACAAATCAAATTTGTCTATTTCATCAAAATATTCAGCTTTTTTTATTTTCACATTGCACGACTGGTTTTTTTCAGAGCCATGGTTAAACTGATTATCCAAATCAGTCAAATTTATTTGCTTAGTGCCACTTTTTCCTCCCTTGTTGATTTCCGAAAGTATAGAAGACACTGTGTTTCCCATTTGAATGGAAGCGCGGGGGTCCAATTTTGGTTGCAGAGGATGCATGTTAAAGTTACTTAAATAATTTTCAGTGGTTTTCTGAAAGGGACGAGATTGTTCTTCGTTTTGCTTCTCATCTTCGTCAGGTATAATTATTTCTGTAACATGTGGAAGTTTTGGTATGTCTTTGTCACTAATCTTATTTTGTATCCTAGGTAAGGATACGACTTTTGCCACACTGTTTCTTTGACCAACAGCATGTATCGGGTATTGTTCGTTGTGGATCTCAACCGTCGGCTGTGTGAGTAGCAACTCCCTTTTTCCATTACTGACTACTGGAACATTTATCTCTGAAATGGAGCAGTAGTCTGGTTCCACATTATTAATAGTTGCTACTTGTCCTATTTTTCTCATCTTAACATCTGCAACCCGTTGATTGGCCGCAACGGCTTCAGAGTCTAACGGTTTTATTGCTGTTTTAACAGTGTTTTCAGTTTTCCATTTTGCTGAAAGATTCTTTGGTTTTGGTGGCAACGCGGGAGGAGTTCGTGGCACTTTTCTTTTGTTGAATATTTTCATCGATCCTAGATCGTTATCAAATTTCTTCTCAATATTATTGGCTCTATTTTCTATGTTTGCTGCAATATTTTTCACTATAGAACCTCTTATTTTTGGAACATTTGGCTTTTCACTAGGCGGCGATGAACGCGGTAATGGCACAGGTTTCGTTTCAGTGTTTTTTGTAACAATAGGTTCATAATCATTGCTATATATGCTTTGTATTTCATATTGAAAACCTTGTGCTGTATTCGGCACTTCATAGCTATGTTCAGAAGCGGTTTCCAGACTGAATTTAACAATTTTATTTGATCTTTTATCAGACCGTGGTAAAGTATGATTATTTCCACTTGATCTAATTTTATCATCATATGAAATGCTGTTGAGTGTAGAAAATTGGACTCTTTTAGTCGATGCTTTGGGACTTGGAGTTTCGCTCGATTTTGAGTTATCATTACTGCTGTCCTCAAGTGAGTTTTGAAGGAGGATCTGGTTTACACATTCTAAAACTGGATTATTTTTGTATATTTCATTAGTAGGACTTTCATCTGCGTCACTTGTACTAGCATACCAGTTTTCATTGATTTCATTAGTATCTTGTTTATCCAAGCTCACTTCACTATTATTATTTTTGTCATCAAATTCTGAATTCAAATTATTTTTAAGCATGTTATTACATAGTACATCGTTTTTAGCGCATACAATATTGTCACTTAGCGCTGTATTATTGAAACTCAAAAGATTGTCGGTGGATTTAGATTTATTATTATTTAATATTATGCTTCTTTGGTCTAGGCAATATCCATCCTGTTCGGGATCACTTACATTACAATACCATGGCTTCTCACTATTTTCCTCAGCAAGAACATTGTTTAAAAACATCTGCCGATTTGCTTTAATTTCGTCAGAAGCTTGTCTTTTTATTCCATGCATTCGTTCCATTTTGGTCGAATAAGTTTTGTCTGAATTATTAGAACAATTTTCTGTTTCTTTCTTGGCTGCTTCTCCAATAAGCTGATCTATTTTCTCCGAAGCCCTTCTTATGTCATTAGCTATCTGGTTAGCTGTTGCATCATTATCATGATTAACTTGATAACTCATACTAATGCAGTCTTCTGCACTACTGCTGTTAAGAGCTTGATTATTATAATTCTTTTGTTGGTTATTTTTACGGCCAGAATATTTTCTCGATCTTCTGAATACATCTCGTCTGCTGAACGCTTGTTTATTTTTTATAAAGGTACCTTTGCTACTGATACTGACAGTATTTCCTTCTTCACTCGAGCTAGTGTTGCCGTATACGTGATCGTTCTTCGGCAACTGGAAGCTTTTACTAAGCCTAGTATTTTTTTGGAAAGCGGGTGGATTATTTCTTTCTCTGTAACTGCAACTTCTCATAAATGTATTTTGAAATCTAGAGTCGGTGCTTTCTAAGCTCTGGAATTCAGGATCAGTTTCTATATTAGTTTGTTCACTGGTGAAGCCAAGAATCTGTTGGCAGTTGCTGCAGTAAGATTTCCTGGCTTTGAGTTTAGCTATTTCCTCTTGCTGGGCTTTGATTATCTTCTCTTTTTGTTGGAGTGCCACGTGGATTTGTCGTTGCTCTCTTGTCAGGCGGGATTCTAGAAGAACTAGGGATCTTAACACTAAGGCTAGTTGGTCTTGTCGGAGCCGTCTTTCTTGGGCGGCTTGCTTGTTCCGAGCAGCAAGTGCTTGTCCCGCTTCCACCAGTTGGTGCCGTTGTTTCAGAACGGATTCAGATTGCTGCTGTAGGGCGTTTCTCACCGCATCCAACTCCCGTCGCAACTCCATCGCTTCCGAGCTGCTGTCCATCTGGAAAAGAATAGAAAACATTTCATTATTATGTGAAATAATTACCGCATTGCATTATTATATGAGTGAAGAGTCTTTTTCAGAATTATTGTAAGAGTTATTCTGATTGTACCTTTTGCATATAATTTAGAGCACTGTTTTCATTTTGGTTTATGCAGTAAAATAATAAAAAAATATTAGCCGTTAAATAAAATGATGGTAGTTAAGTCATTTTATATTCTACCTACACCTCTTACATAATAATTTCGTGTGTCAATGAAGTTTTATAAGAGATATAAAAAGAGTTATCAAGAATAATTAAAACACAAATATATAAAAAAAACTTTACGAAGCAAATAAAAGCAATTTAATAGTACCTTGTAATAGTCAATGACTCTGGTTAGTGCATGTTACCAACAATGTGCAAACAAACAACTTTAAATATTGTAATTTCTGTTAAAGTGACTGCGATAGAATATTGCTTCGAAATCTAAACTGCGTTTGAAGGAAATTTAGTATCCACTAATGAGTGATTGTTTATCATAGAGTCTACACGTATCATTCACTTTGTTGCTATTACTTAGTGGAGTCGGATTATTTGACAAATGACTAAACTTGAATGGAATGTAACATTCAATATTTAAAAAGATTGAATAAAATTTTAGGTAAGTTACATAATAACTAACAATCGTGTTTTAGAAATATTCGTGTCAATATTAGTACAATTTAATCAATGAGTTGGCGCTCATTGATAAAATTGTTCTGTCATGACAAAAGCAGTTCTTAATCATCAACCTATTATATAATTAGTGCTCCCATTTGTGAGCAGAGTTCTTTATAATCGATAGAATCAAATAACAAGCGTTCCCTTGTGCAGATTGGTGGATATTAACGATTGCAGATACCTTGGAAACACGAAGGACCATGTAAATTTTTGGTCACCATTCAGGACCCGTCCTTGCGAAAGTTGCATAACCTTCGATTCGCAGCCCAATCGCGCTAACCACTGTTCTATCGAGCTTCTCAATAATAGTAGCAAAAAAATAATAATAAGACCAAACAAAAAAGAAATTAGTGATCATGGTTTTGTTTTAAAGTCAGGTATATTGAGGTATATTGTATTAATTTATATATACCTACCTAATATAAAAAAGTTATATTTTGGGAACTTCTATTAATTTATATTCGTTTAATATCACTACAACGTAATGATAACACGTGTCAAGTATCTTTTTTGTTAGAAAATGGTGTTGACACAAGATCAAAAGTGTATCACAAAAAAATATTATCAAAAGCGGAACATCTTCTACTCCGAGCAATAATTATATATATATATATATATATATATATATATATATATATATATATATATATATATATAAAAAAGAAAACGATTGATAGAAGAATTATATTTAAATTATTAACGAATCCGTATTAGGTTTTTCTCAAAAAAGACAATCTTGTTCTGAAAACAGTTACTTACGTAAAAAGGCACCGGTTCTAATATTATAATAAGATTTGAATTTCAAATATAAAGTTATGTTGTATTTAGTATTAAAGTGATTCAGTATTTAGAAAAGCACAAGTCAGCGAAATGCATGACATTGCTGATTTATATTTACACTGTTTGTTTATTTAGTGATGCAGTTCAAAGTCTATGTTGATATACAAATTGTTTTTCTGTAGCCAAAGGTCATAGTCGCGTGCTATTCCTATTGAAATAAATGCTGATTTATATAATGTACAGAAATAATTTGTTGTTTACATGAATATTAATCATAGCCCCGAAGACTTATATAGCAAAAAAATCGCAAATCATCATAAATTATTAATGGAATATAATTAATGGGTCATATATAATATTTTTGTATTGTAGTTATAGTTCTCGTCATAAAATCGCTTCCGAAAGAGTAACACCGAACTCTTAAGTGACCGCACTTCCTAAATCGCGCCCCACGCAGGTACTTTGCCACCGTATTTACGTTACCGATGATTGAGATACCTAAGTTCCGATAATAAAAAAAAAGAAAACCATAGTAAAATCGTCGGAATAATAAACTCTTAATTGTGTTAGTTTTTTAAAATTAGAATAATACTTGACAGTACAACATCCAAAATGTCAAAACTATTTAGATTAAAAAAAAACTTCTGTAATGTGTTGTTATGTTTTAAATAGTTCCAAAGAGGATGACCTCTATTAGGATATGCAATCTTTTTGACAACTTGTACCTACTTATACGAAAGGGTGTTATCGACATAATGACCTTATGACTACTTCGTCACCAATAGTAACGAGATACCATTTAAAAACGATTTCTAATGATATGAGTGAGAATAACACCCTTTCATATGTATATGTAGAATGCGAGGGACATCGGCGGACGCACAGTAAATATTAATTTTTATATTTCATAACTTATAACTATCATTATAGATGTAGCCCAATGCGATAGTGAAAGCAAAATTAATCAATTGAATTATTAAACATATAATACACAAATTAACATTAAAATATCATAAAATCATTAAATTAAGCTCGGTGGCGTAGTGGATTAGCGCCGCGGCCCGTGATCGTAGTCGTTATGCAACTTTCGCAAGGGTCGGTCACGGGATGGGTGGCCAAAAAATTATTATCTCGAGCTACTCCGTGCTTCGGAAGGCACGTTAAGCCGTTGGTCTCGGCTGCATTTGCAGTCGTTAATAGCCTCCAATCCGCATTGGGCTAGCGTGGAGGGTCATGACCCATCCTCTTTAACCATCCATAAAGAAGGCCTGAGCCCCTGCAGTGGGGACGTAAAAGGGCTGGTGATGATGAAGGCATTAAAATTCAAATAACAAAATTACATTAAAATGAATACAAATTATTCAACAATATTCCAGTTTGATTATGTTTTAGAAAAACTTAAACGTGTACATAAAATATAGTATAATTCGGTCAATTTACCAGCAATGCTATGTATTTCGAAATTCCGAACCCATGCGATAAACAGTTGATATAAGGTAAAAGGAAGTCAATAAAACTGTTATTCGGAATTTAATTAATAATATCAAAACGATACCACATAAGCAAACTGTCAAATTGCAATTTGTATATTATCTGAAACGTGCGTCAAGTTTTCCGATAAAAGTTCTGCTTTTATTAATTTTTTGCTTTGATAAAAATTAACCGATGTGTTTACATAAAGATAATGCACAAATGTAAAAAACTACTGGTATTGACATGGGGATTATTTATATTAATTCGTTTTTTATATCAAGCTCTCTGTAACTAATGAAATAATATTAAAAATAACATCTTCTATTGATGTCAGGCGATCAATTTCTTCTGCCTAAATTAATAATATTTCAGCTCTTTTTCTTTCTAAATTTTTTATTTTATAATTTATCTATAGTAATTTGATTTTATTATAACAAAAATAATTTTCATTAAGAAGAATATATGTGGATATTTGGATGTATAAATAAAAATTGAAAAACTCTGTGAAATTCGTGAACATAGATATAAAAATTATTCGTAATCGTCGAATAATGGATAAACTTCTTTACAATGTTGTATACTAAAAAAACCAGGGACTTAGCGAAAAAGTGTCTTGACCTTTCAAAATGGAGAGAAGATATAGTAGACAGAGAGAAATTATGTAGACATTTTCTAGTCGTGGGTGTAATAGAAAGCATTCTAGCTTATCCACTGTCCGACGAGGTTGGAACGTTTTTATGACATCCAACGTTATGTTTGCCCAGATTTAAATTATTATAATCTATGTAAATTAAATATGTGGCTGCCATAAATACTATAATACCTAAATATAATAGGAGCATCTCAACCTAGGTGCGTCAGCGCCTTTTGTCTACCATTTCAGAGGTTACAATGGGATGGGATGGGTGATCAAAAATGCATTATTTCGAGCTCCTTCATCTTCCAAAACACGATAAGCAATCGACACTAGTTGCATCTACAGTCTTTAACACCAGGAGCTTAATTCCGACAACGTTTTCGTATTTATGGCGTGTGTCATGTCTATTCGGATAACGGATTTTTTGACAGGTTTTTGTTACTATATTACAAAAAAACCATCTATCGTTATTGATTCATCACGAGGCCATTTTAATAATATTATTTGTCGTCAAGTAGATCATTAATCGGAAACGCCGCTGAGATGCCTTTTTTACAATAACTAGCAAAATTGAGGACCTAACGTGGTATGGTTTCTCTGTGCGATTCCATTGATATGCCCAGAGATTATGCTTGAGCTATAGACAATATTTGACGTTGAATTATTCAGCAGTTAAACCGACATGTTAAGAGGTACTCGTTCCTAGATTTTATTAATCAAATTAGTTGACGGTATATTGTAATTATCGCGACGATTCAACGACAATTAATTACATTGTAAATAATTATCAGTCACAATGCTATATAGTAAGGAAGTTGGTGCCATTGACCCTCGATAGCATATGATTGATTTAATACATAGTGATGGATCCATAAATCTAGGAGTAGGAAGGGGTTGGTCCAAAGTCAAAATTCGAATTCATTTGTACTCGTACAACTCTCTGAACTAAACTAAAATAAACAAGATATTTCAAATTTGAAATCAATAGAATTTGGGTTTGTTTTTACGTTGTTACGTAGTCAAGTACATAATAAATAAAATTATACTCCGGTTTTCTAAATACAATAAGCTTTAAATGTTTTATCTTTATTATATAGAAAAATCTTAGAGAACTGTGGACAAAGTTAAAAATGGACTTTTTTTGATTAGGATTGTTTTATCTTATTTTTATAGTTATATTTACAAAAAACGTAAATTTAGTTTAGTCGTGCAACAGAGGAGTTTAGATTAAAGCCGCAATCATACTATCATGCATTTTTCAAATTGAAATAAGTATAAATACTTATGAGATATACACATTAATCTCATAAGTGCTATTATTATATTATCAGACGCATAACTTAGTTTTATATGTGCTTATAAAGGCCGGCCAAGCATGACTTTTCATTGAAATAAAAAAAAAAATAC